TAGGAAAACAACTGATTTTTGTGTAATGATTTTTCAGCCAGCCACTTTATTTGTTTATTGTTTCTAGAAGGATTGTGTGGACACTTTAGGGTCTTCCATGTATTTCATTGTGTCATTGCAAAAAGAGATAATTTTACTTCCTCTTTTTCAATATTCCACCAACTAACATAGCTTACTTTCTTAGTCTAAGTGAATTTTAGCTTCTCTAGCTTTAGGAAAAGATACTTCACTAAAACAGGAAAACAGATGCATCAATTATTTTGTTGCAGGTAGGAAGGTAGGAGGTTCCTGGTCATGTAGATTCATAAAAATATTCTGGAAACCTAAACTAACCCAAAGGCATGAATGCCTTTGACACAAAATACCAATATTAGAAGCCAGGATGGAGAATTCCAGGGCAGCTGCAAGGATGGCTTCCTGGTAGGAGGGGCAGTAGGAGCCCCTGGGAAGAGAGGCTCCAGACCAGGGACAAAACCCCATGCAATGTGTATCCAAATACCATCAGCTAAAGTAATCATGCAAGTTTGTTACTGTATCTCAAGGTGATCCAATAAAACTTCTTTTAAAAAAAGAACACAGGACCTTATTAATTTAAATTTCCTTTATCTACTATACAGAGCATCATAAGGACTGTGACAATAACAAAAGATACATAAGCAACAATGGAGAGAGAGCAGAGAGAGAGAGAGAGAGAGAGAGACAGAAAGAGACAGAGAAAGACAGAAAGAGACAGAGAGAGACAGAGACAGAGATACAGAGAAACAGAGAAACAGAGAGACACAGAGAGCGAGAATGTGGTCCTTGAGTGCTGTGGAACTTGGCTCTTTAGCAGAGTAAAGGTCTATCTTTGAAGGTGTCTCCTTCTGCTTCCCTCAAAAGTAAATGGAGGGTAGGGGTATGGTGCTGCCAGCAGGTCAGCCTGTACCTGTGGGGTGAGTGCATCAGCAGCCAGATGGTGCCTTTAGACTTCCGGATACCTCAAAATTGCTGCTATGCCTTCGGCCAGACCCCAACAACTTGGGGCCAAGTTTACCAAGAAATTAAACGGCCAAATGTCAGGTATGTGGAGACACACCCACAAACCAGCTCCAGGTCAGCTATATAAGCTCAACATAGGCAGGGGAAGGGTTGGAACGGGTGTTGGGAGGTAGTAATTCTGGGGATTTTGATGGTAGAAAATGTGCGCTGGTGAAGGGATGGGTGTTTCATGATTTTATGACTGAAGCTCAGATATGAAGGCATTATAATTGTATCTCATGGTGAATCAAAAAAGGGGTAAAATAATAATAAAAATAAAATAAAATTAACAATCAGAATAGAAAAAAAAAGTAATGTGGACATCGGCCATCGTCCAGATCACATAGCTGCTTCTCCTGAAAGGGAGCATAACATGAGGTCCCCATAACCATTCCACCGGACTCTGTGTCAGGCTGTTTCATAGGGTGCATCCCAGAGGGGTTGGTTGAGATCCCTTCCTGCCCCAAGGGACCCAGTTCCGGCACCAAAAAACTCACACTACCCAACCGCCACCATGCTTAAGGCCACCCCACACACACTTGGGTCGAGCTCACGCATGACTGAAGTCCTATGGAACACAGGTAATGCAGAACTTTGTGACCTCGGACTCTGGGCTCAACGGGACCAAGAGTGGAGATCTTCTGCCTGCTTTCCGCAATCTCCAGCAACCCAGGGGTCACGCCCATACGTCAACTCCTGCCATCGCCAGATAATCTCTTTATCAGCCAAGGTCCAGATCGCACAGCTGCTTCTCCTGAAAGGGAACATACATGAGGCCTCCATAACCATGCCACTGGACTCCACACCAGGCAGCTTCACACGGGGGGATGGAAGGAGAGTCCCACTCATCCCCAAGGAATCCAGCTCTGGCAGCCAAAACCCTCCACAACCCAATTGCCACCACTCTCAAGGCCACTCCCCACATGCTCAGGCAGAGACAAACATATGAGTAAATATGTTCCTGTACCGCACAGATGCTAAAACAGCCATGCAACACATCATAAAACCCTCCCTACCCATTCTCCATACTTACCACACCACATTTGATGGAGTTCAAATAGTAGGCAACAAATCATAGAGAAAAAAAACCATATATATACACACACACAATTGTAGGATCATATGTTGCAGCACTGACTACTTAACTACAACCTTATTTTTACTTGTGATGAAGGTACACTAAGCTATCAAACGATCTGTCCCCCGACCTCCATTTCAAAATATTTTTATATTCTGATTTTTTAGAAGCATACATGCAACTACATTTGTCTTGCTTACTAGCTCTATTTAGTAGCCTTTTAAACTTTGCACTGAGTACTTCCCTATCTCTGACTGGAGCAATAGCACAGTGAGTAGGGCATTGGCCTTGCACGTGGCCGACCAGGGATCGATTCCTCCGTCCCTCTTGGAGAGCCCGGCAAGCTACCGATAGTATCCTGCACTCACAGCAGAGCCTGGCAAGCACCCCATGGTGTATTCAATATTCCAAAAACAGTAACAACAAGTCTCACAATGGAGATGTTACTGGTGCCTGCTCGATGAACAATGGGAGGACATTGCTATATATATATATATATATATAAATATATATATATTTTCAGAGATATATATATATTTTCATATATATATAAATATATATATATATACAAAGCTGACATCACCCAAAATTCACCAACATGTTAGTGATATCCAACAGAATGTCTTAATGGCTCCTGCCAAAATAGACCAATCTTCACACTGCTTCCTATATGAATACTTTATTTTTTTTTTAGCATGTTCAGCACTTCTTCATAACAGACAGTATGAAATACATTATTTTGGTTGTTTTTTGTGACAGGGATTGGGGTTTGGGATGGAAACATCCTGAATTTGGTGGTGGGAAGGTGTAATATTGGTGGATTGGTGTTTGAATATTGAATGTAATCAAACATTGTGAACCAACTTATAAAATTAAAATTTTTTAAAAAGTAATGGGGAGTTTATGCCCAATTCAATCAGCTTAATCTATGCCTGAATAGATAGCAGTGATCCTACATTATATAAAAAACAAAAATAATAAAAAATAAAAAGTATATGAAGTGATTTTGTTATTTACTCTTGTAATAAAATTATATTTTAGGTTCCTTGACATCGCTAATACATTCTTGAAGTTTTTCTTAGTTACCAACTTTTTAGTGAACCTTTCATTAATCATATTTCTGACCACAATGTGCCCTCCACCAACAGCCCTGCATGCCAATGTCCTGATTTCCTACTTTGTCTAGTTTATTACCAGACTCACTCTCTTCCTTACCCACTATGATTTCCTTAGCCAGGAACTTGAAAGGTCCTCAACAAATCTTTATTATACTCACAATTTATTTTCTTGACACAATTTTAAAAATATGGATACATGCAAAAATTCTTTTCATCTTATACTTGTTCTGAGCTCCCAACTAGTCAGAAATGTCACATAACTCAATTAACTGGGACAGATTTGTCATTTTACTGTTAGTCTCAACTACTAATGTTCAGTATTGACAATGTCCTGGTGGTTCCTGCACCATACTCTTTCCTCCAGTAAGCTGAGCAAAAACTAGGAGACGGATAGCATGTCTTTTTTATATTTGAATACATAAAACAGTTTACCGAACACCAAAAATGGTACATTCAATGTAAATTGCTATTCTTGAGGATCACAAAGTTTCTGGGGAAGATGACAGGCATGGAGGTAGCAGAAGCTATAAATATCAAAGTCAGCAGTGATGAGAGAGCATTATGGCTTTTGGTTGCTTGTCTCTGTGGTTCTTAAGGGCTCTTTCCTCCATAGAAGTATTAAAAATCATACTTCATAATCATGGAGGTAGAAGGATTCAAGCTGGATTAAAAATGAAAATATCTTTAGGGCAGAGATACAGTACAGCAGGTATGGCACTTGCCTTGCAAGCTATTGATCTGGATTTGAACTCAGATATCCCTGATAGTATACTGAGTACTCCTAGGAGGGATCCTTGAACTCAGAAACAGGAGCCAGCCCTAAGCACTGTTTGGTGTGGCCAGGTATGGCCTACAAATATTAGATTCAATCTTGTTTATCAGAGGTCTCAGTACAGAACATTAATTTTGTTACTGATGAAGCTATAACATTTTATTAGCTTCAGAGAGTGTTTGAAGATATCAAAATCATTGAGCCTGATGAAATAAAATTTTAGATTTTTCAACCCAAAATGCTGCCAAACTATGCCACATATCTGAATAAGCTGCAGATACATTGCAGTAGACCTAAGCAGGAGTATTCATCGTATATGAATGTGTGCCCGTATTTAGACTGTGTCAGGCAAGAGAAACAAATAACATAGAAGAGGAAGAGCTCTTCTCTACCCACAAAGAAGCCACAGAGATCTGAGCCAACTGCAAAAAAAAGGAGATAGATTTGCCACTTTAGGGCTCACCCCAGAGGAATCTAGCCAGGTGGGTTTTGTTTGTTTTGTTAAAACGAATTTTTTTCTTTTTAGAGTTACTAAAAAATGTGAGTCCTGAAACCCTACTTGCCTTCTGTCTCCGTAGATTATTTCTTTAAGGAAGATGCAGGTCAATTTTCTAAACGAAACACTTCATGAACATTGCCATTATTTATTTCCTTCCAATTTAAAGCCAATGGGTAAAGTAATATTATGTGTGTCCACCAAATAGTGCCACTTCAATCATGCTATTGGTTAAAGATCCTGTGATAAAGTGGTGTGAGGGATAGTTGATTTATGCAGTTATTAGGAAGTGTTATACCAGAGTCTCTGATAAGAAAGGCATCCTGTAAATCATGTCTGCCTAGAGACAAATGAGGTGCTTTAACTGCAGCGCTGATTGGTTCCTCCAATAGTATTCTCCAATCATATGGTGCTTGACAGCCTTCATTGGTCTTTTAATTCTTTGAAATTGGTACATTTTCATTAGGTCTGAGCTGTATTGACTAAAATAAGCTTTTCTTTTGTTCTCAGATTGTGTGTTGGAAGATGTCTCTAAATGTACCGAGAGGCCTGCGGATAGTTGCTGTGATGGTGATTCTAGTGGTGTGGAGCACTCTGGTGACTGAAGGCAGGGACACTCCAAGTAAGTGCAGATCCCCGTTGGGGGAAAGGCGATGAAGGCCTTAATGAGGGTTTGAGTGGGGGAATCTTTGATCTTAGGAAACAATCTTTATTCACAAATTTCCTCTTTGGAAAAGAGAGCTGCTTTACACTCTTATTTTAAAGGTAAGATGAGGACAATCCTCATTTCAAGATTTAAATCTAGGGGTGTTGTTGGGGAGACAGAACCACTTGGGAGTGTTCACTACTAGCAAATACAGGATGAGTTCTTTATAAACCAATGATTTTCTCCAGAGAATACACAGGAGGACATATGATTTTTGGGTTCCCCCAGTACCTTGCTTGGACTAAACAGTGTGGGATTTTAAGTTGGGGAAACACAAGGTTGCAGTAGTCTCAGGTGCTATGGAAAGGGGCTTTGCAGAGCCCACAGAGGCAAACTCAAGCTACCTGAGTGTACTTGACATCTGATAGGGACTTTGGATGTTTTTGGGATTGTGTGGTCAAACAGGGTATTGAGCGGGATTCACAGATTTGAACTGTCAATGGACTAAATTTGGAGAAAGGAGAATGCCTAGAAGGAAAATAATACATGCTGAGAAACAATTAGAGACAGCATTATTATCTTGATATGAATCAGCTTCCAATTTTTCTAACTCTTCATGTGTAGGTTTGGCATTTTTTTATACAATTATGCTTATGGTGAGTTTATTCGAATTAATCTACAGAAGCTGGTAATTAGCATAGTTTAATCGAAATCCAATTAATCTAGTGATAAATCTTGTGTTCTTTTCAAAAAGAAAGTAATCCTTCCTAAGACTGGATGTGCACCCCTTTCCACTCTGACAGAAATCCGTGGCTGAGGAGAGAGATGCGAAGGGAGAGAGGCGAAGGGAGAGATACAAAAGGAGACCCTTTACCAGAAACGAAGGAAAAATTCTCATCAGGAAAGGTTATTTTTAGGCATTTCTGGTCATTCCCTTGAACTGCCGCGCTCAGGTGGATTCTGAGTCTCAGGCTTCTGGGACTCCTCAGGGAAAACGAATTTTCCATGCAAGGTCCGTTTTTCTAACTCCAGGGTTCCAGACTGTCAGTGCTTCTGCCCTCCTTACTGAACTCGCAGGTCCCAGGACTGTCCCCCGACAAGCTTCCCCCACAGCTGCCATTCAAGGACGGCCCTAGACACCTTCAGGCAGGCCTGGAGTCAGGAAAGGGGCGTCGGGGGCCCAGGGGTCTGCGGGTGCTCGGGAGCGGGGTCCGGTCCGGGAGGGCTCTGGGACTCCGGCTGGTTTCAGGGGTTCGGATCCCGTCCATCTACCTGCGGCCCGGAGTGGTCCGCCGGCCCGGGGGTCCCCGCGGCGGCCTGACGTGGAGCAGATTAAGCACCTGTGCTACTACACCAACGGGACGCAGCGGGTGCGGCTCGTGGACAGATACATCACCAACCGCGTGGAGAACGTGCGCTTCGACAGCGACGTGGGGAAGTTCGTGGCGGTGACCACGGACGCGGAGCAGGACGCGAAGAACTGGAACTCACAGAAGGACTCACTGGAGCAGAAGCGGGCCGAGGTGGACACGGCGTGCAAACCCAACTATGAGTTGGCCGCCGCCTCGATTTTGAGCCAGCGAGGTGAGCGCAGGGCGCGGCCGCGGGCGCGAGTCTCGGCCGGGGAGTCGGGCGGGGGGCGCAGCCGGACCCCGCGCGGACCCCAGGGTGACCGGCAGGAGCGTGTCCGCGGGGAGAGGCGGGGACGGGGCGCTCGGGGGACTCGCTGCCGCAGCCTGGAACCTTCCGCAGGGCGCCCGCAGCTGCCCCGCCCTGACGCTGCTCTTGGGCAGAAACAGTTTTGATACTCGGGCCAATTCCCCACCGAGTCTTGAAACCCTGAGGACATAAAATCATTAGTTCTTTCCGCCATCTATGGCCAAGACAAAATCTCCCCAGAGCCAGTTTTACCGGAAACCGCTGTATGGTCTGTTCTTAAAAACAGGAATTTATCTCGGAGGTGCTGTTACAGCAAGCCCACCACCAGAGGGCAGCAGAGGGCGGAGCTCACCAGCGTCCCTAGGTTCCCTCCCATCCGCCCTTCCTCAGAGAATTTTCTTCCCTATATTTCAGTGTTGATGGGTGAATAATAATACTCTCTCAGGAGCCTTAAATTTACATATTAATCTTTGTTTTCAAAGGTTTTCTTTAATCTTTCTGATTCCAATTAGAATTTATTTTACTTGGATATATACTATAATAATGGGCTGGAGATATAGCACAGTGGATAGGGCATTTGCCTTGCACGCAGTTGACCCGGGTTCTATTCCTCTGTCCCTCTCGGAGAGCCCAGAAAGCTACCAAGAGTAACCCGCTCTCATGGCAGAGCCTGGAAAGCTGCCCGTGGTGTATTCAATATGCCCAAAACAGTAACAAGTCTGACAATGGAGACATTACTGGTGCCCATTCGAACAAATCATGAACGGGAGGACAGTGTTTTCAATACAGGTCCTCCTAACTTTTAGCAGACTTTTCCCTGCTTTCTTCTGACTACATCCTAATGTTATATAGTCCGTAAATATTTGTTTCTATAATATTGAATAAGTTAATATTTTTCTCACAAACGGTTGCCAAATCTTTTAGCCCTAACCTGTAAAGAAAAAAATATTTTAGAAATCCATATACCTGACTACAATTCTAGTCAGACAAGGAAGCAGACCCAAAATTAGAGTGAAAGGTCTAATTTAAAATTCTGCCATTGAATTGGGGTGCTGAGTTCACTAGCTGCCTCTAACAGTGTAAGTCCTACTTATACTTTCACGCTCACGTCATGTTCTCAGTAACCAAACCAACCTCTGTAAAAATCTCAAAATATAGTTATTGAAATGATGATAATGTCTGACTGCAAATTAAGCAAGTCTGTTTTTTTGGATTGAATTACCATGAGATACAAAGCTGTTCATGATCAACCAGTTTTAGTCATAAAATCTTTCAAGACCCACCTCTGTACCAGTGGATATTTCCCACCACCCATATCCCCAGTTTCTCTCCTGCCTCCTGCCCCACCCCTGCTCTGAGTCTCTAATGGCAGGCACTTTACTTCACTCTCTCTCTCTCTCTCTCTCTCTCTCTCTCTCTCTCTCTCTGTCTCTCCCTACCTCAGGGCATTATGGTTTGCAATACAGATACTGAGAGGTTATCGTCTTTGTTGCTTTACCTATTTTTAGCACACAGTTCTTATCCAGAATGGTAATTTCTGACTATTTTTGTCATAGTGGTCCCTTCTCTATCCCAACTCCCTTCTCCCCCAGCACTTCAGGAATGCTTCCAACCAATCCTCCTGGCCCTTGTTTCTACTGAACCTGGGTATTCGTCTCATATTCTGTTTTTCTTTTTTGGTATCCCACAAATGAATTCAATCATTCTATGTTTGTCCCTCTCCTGACTCATTTCACTCAACATGATACTCTCCATGTGCATCCATTTATTTATTTATTTTTTGCAAGAGACATATGTTTAATTTCATTAGTAAGAATGAATGTATAAGGATTTTTTTCAAACCTTTATTTATTTATTTATTTATTTTTATTAGTGAAACACCATGAGGTACAGTTGTAGACTTACAAATTTTTGTGCTTGGGTCTCAGTTATACACCGTGTGCATCCATTTATAAGCGAATTTCATAACGTCACTTTTTCAAACATGTGCATGTTACATTGTTTGGATGTACCATAGTTTCTTTAAACAGTCATCTGTTCTCAAACACTGCAACACTCCTGTTGTTTTCAGATTCTGGCTATTGTGAACAGTGCTGCAATGAATATAGTAATACAGATGTGCTTTTGGGCTGCTGAGGTATATTCCGAGTAGTGTTGCTGGACAATATGGAAGCTCCAAGTTCTAGCTTTCTGTTTTCTAAAAGGCTGAACCAGTTCACATTCCCACCTATAGCGAAGGAAACTCCCTTTTTCCCCAAATCCATGCCAGCACTGGTTGTTCTTGTTGTTCGTTTGCTATATGCCAGTCTCTGGTATGAGATGATATCTCATTGTTTTGATTTGCATCTCCCTGATGATTAGGGATGTAGGGATGTAGGACCTTTTTTCATGTGTCTTTTGGTCTTTTGAGTTCTTTGAGGAGGTTGCTGTTCATTTTTCTTCCCAGTTTTTGATGGCATTTGATGGTTTTTTTCTTGTAAAGTTTTACCAGTGCCTCATATATCTTAGAAATTAGCCCTTCATCAGATAGATGATTAAATAATTTTTCCCATTCTGTGAACTGACTTTGTATCTTACTCACCATTTCTTTTGAGGTGCAGAGCTTCTTAGTTGAAAGTAGTCCCATTTGTTTATCTTTGCTTCCATTGCTTGTTCAGTGATGTTTCATCCTTGAAGATTCCTCCAGCATCAATTTCATAGTGAGTTTTTGCCATATTTCCCTCCAGGTATGTTATGGATTCAGGTCTGATATTGAGGTCTTTAATCCACTTTGATCTGCCTTTTGTGCCTGGCATTAGAAAGAGGTCTGAGTTTACTGTATTCCCTTTTATCTTTTTTCTTCTTTTTGCTTGTAGCTGCCCAGTTTTCTCAGAACCACTTCTTGAGGTGGCTTTCCTTGCTCCCCTTCATATTTCTTGCTGCTGTATCAAAGATTGGGTGATTAGATATTTGAGGATCTATGTCAGGATATTTAACTCTGTTCCATTGGTCTGCGGGTCTCTTTCTATTCCAATATCATGCTGTTTTAATTACATCTGCTTTGTAGTACAGTTTGAATTTGGGGAAGGGGATGACTCCCATTTTCTATTCCCCAAGGATTGATTTTGCTATTTGTGGGGTTTATGTTCCATTTGAAAAATAAGTAATTCTTTAAAAAAAGGAAAATAAGAAATCTTAAGAGTACATAGGTAATCAGCTATTTAATTAAACGCATATGAATATTAAGAGAACATGCTAAAATGAAATGAAAGAACATAAGATATTTCAAATAGATAAAACGTACATGAAATATTAACTCATTCTACACAAAAGAATAACTGTAGCACTGTAGCACTGTCCTCCCTTTGTTCATCGATTTGCCTGAGCGGGTCTAGTAACATCTCCATCATAGACTTGTTACTGTATTTGGCATATTGAATACATCATGGGTAGCTTGCCAGGCTTTGCCGTGCGGGTGAGATACTCTCGGTAGCTTGCCGGAGTCTCTGAGAGGGGCGGAGGAATTGAATTAGCTCAGCCGGGCCAGCTGTGCGCAAGGCAAATGCCCTGTCTCTGTGTTATGGATAAAGGATAAGACAGTACAATGAAAGGAATTTGGAATTACCAAAAATAGTAATAAGAAAAGGTAGAGTGGCAGAAATGTGATATTTTGTCAGCATTTGAGGTTTCAAGGTTCCTTTTTTTCCTTAAACATTTATAAGCTTTCTTATTTCTTTTTTTCCTTTCTTTTGAGCAAGATGCCTAGCTATTTGCTATATTTTATTTCTTTTTAATTGAATATCCGTGAGCTACAGTTACAAAATTTTCATGTTTGAGTTTCAGTCATACAATGATTGAACACCCATCTCTGAACCAGTGTACATTTCCTACCACCACTGTCCCCAATATCCCTCGTCCCCCCACATCCCACGCCTCCCCTACCTCTATGGCAGACTATTTCCCTCTTTGTCTCTTTATATTTATGGGTATTATGGTTTGCAATACAGAGACTGAGAGGCTATCATGTGTGGTCCTTTATCTACTTTCATCAGGTGAAATCAGGGGTGATTAATAGCTCTGTGCTCAGGAATGAGTCCTGGTGGACCTCGTGGTACCATATGGGATGTCGGGGATGAAACCCCGGATGGGCACATGCTAAGCAAATACCCTATCTGGTGAACAATCACTTCAGCCCCCAAAGTATAACCTTTTGAAATAGCTTTCCTGTTTCTTTTTCCAGATTGTGAATGCTCTTACTTGTTTTTGAGTTCCAGTGCTTATCAAATTTCTATTATTGAATTAATTAATAAATGCACAAAGAAACGTAAAATATGGATATATGATATGAAAAGGAGATGTCAGCTTAATAATAGAAATATTTTTGTACATGGTGTAAGGCAGAGTTCTGAGCCCATTTTTTTTGCATGTAACCGTCCAGTGATGCCAGCACAATTTGTTAAAGAGGCTTTCCTTACTCCACTTCACATTACTTCCACCTTTATCAAAAATTAGATGATCATATGATTGAGGGGAGATGTCAGTGCATTCAACCCTGTTCCATTGGTCTGCAGTTCTGCCTTTGTTCCAATACCATGCTGTTTTAATTATTACTGCTTTGTAGTACAGTTTGAAGTTCAGGAGGTTGATTCCTCCCATTTTCTTTTTCCCAAGAATTGCTTTAGCTATTCGTGGAGGCTTATTGTACCATATAAATTTCAGGAGTGTTTGCTCCATTTCTTTGAAGAATGTCATGGGTATCCTTATAGGGATTGCATTGAATTTATACAATGCTTTTGGTACTATTGCCATTTTGACAATGTTAAGTCTCCCGACCCATGAGCAGGGGATATCTTTCCATTTCCTTATGTCCTCTTTTATTTCCTGAAGTAGCGTTTTGTAGTTTTCTTTGTACAGGTCCTTTACTTCCTTAGTTAAGCTGATTCCTAGGTACTTGATTTTCTGGGGCACAATTGTGAACGGGATTGTTTTTTTTTCATGTTGCTTTCTTCTCTCTCACTGTTTGTGTATAGGAAAGCCATGGACTTTTGGGTATTGATTTTATATTATCTTCAAAGATGCCACGCCACTGGCCGAGCAAGTGAAAACAGAGATAGATAAATGGGACTATCTTAAACTAAGAAGCTTCTGCACCTCCAAAGAAACAGTGACCAAAATACAAAGACAGTCTACAGAATGGGAAAGGATATTCGCCGAATACACATCTGACAAGAGGTTGATATCCAGGATATACAAAATACTGGTTAAACTCCACAAGAAGAAAACATCCAACCCCATCCAAAAATGGGACAATGAAATGAACAGAAACTTTCTCAAAGAAGAAATCCGAATGGCAAAAAGGCACATGAGAAAATGCTCTGCATCATTAATCATCAGGGAGATGCGGATCAAAACCACAATGAGATACCATCTCACACCTCAGAGACTGGCCCACATCCAAAAGAACAAAAGCAACCGATGCTGGCGCAGATGTGGCGAGAAGGGACACTCCTTCACTGTTGGTGGGAATGTCGACTGGTTCAGCCCTTCTGGAAAACAGTATGGACGATACTCAAAAAATTAGAAATTGAGCTCCCATTTGACCCAGCAATACCACTCCTGGGAATATATCCCAGAGAGGCAAAAATGTATAGTCGAAGTGACATCTGCACTTGTTTGTCCATTGCAGCACTCTTTACAATAGCCAGAAACTGGAAGAAACCTGAATGCCCAAGAACAGATGACTGGTTAAAGAAACTTTGGTACATCTACACAATGGAGTACTATGTAGCTGTTAGAAAAGATGAAGTCATGAAATTTACATACAAGTGGTACAACATGGAAAGTATCATGCTAAGCGAAATGAGTCAGAAAGAGAGGGATAGACATAGAAAGATTACATTCATCTCGGGGATATAAAGTAACAAAATATGAGATTAATACCCAAGAATAGCTGAGATCAGCACCAGGAGGATTACTCCATAGCTTAGTGGCCAGCCCGGCATTCTAGAGGAAAGGGCAGCTCAGATAGAGAAGGGAGCACCAAATAAAGGGTGTTTGGAGGATCCTCCCAGGAGGGAAGATGCATGTCGAAAGTAGACTATGGACTGAACATGTTTGCCACTCAATGCCTCTTTTGCAGACCACAACACCCAAAAGGAGAGAAAGAACACAGGGGATTTCCCTGCCACAGAGGCAGTGGGGGATGGGGGGATGGGGGTGGGGGGGATATTATCCATGGTGGTGGAAAATGGGCACTGGTGGAGGGATGGGTATCTGATCATTGTATAATCAAAACCCAAGCACAAAAAATTGTAAATCTACATCTGTACCTCATGGTGTTTCACTAATAAATAAATAAATAAAAAAATAATAGAAATTTTTCTGGGAAATGCATAAAATATGGCATCTGAGCTAAGATTAGATTGAAACCTAACAGATATGCTTTGTTGACCTGCAGCATGTTAGAGGTGCTTTTATTCTCAAATGGTGTTAGGTTTGAAGCCTGTTTGAGAAGCATTGCTATGTATGAAAGGTTGTGATTGTGACTGTTGTCCTCCTAGGTGTGACATAAAAATGCTTATTCGATGGGTATGGTGCTGCCTGCACATCAAACTGTGCCTTGGGGTGAGTGCCATCAGCAGCCTGATGTTGATTCAGGCTTCCTGATACCCCCAAATTACCACTGTGCCTTTGGCTGGGTCCCAACAACTTGGGACCAAGTTTTTCAAGAAATCAAATGGCCAAAAGTTAGGTATGTGGGAGCTATGGCCAGAAACAATTTCTGGCTCAGCTTTACTAGCTCATTTATTGCCCTTACTTCAGAGACCCATACAGAAATCTCGAAACTGACCAAAAACTGCAGTTAATCTTTGCTGAACAGACTGGAGTAAATGGGAAGCGGGGGACGGGGGGGTCGAGTCAGCCCAGAACCTGAAAAAGCAGAGCCCCTAGCAGCTGCTTGCTCCCACAAACCAAAATCGCCACCATATCTGGGCCTGATTCCACCATCTCAGGACGGATTTCACAGATATATCGTCGATTGCCTCGAGCAGGCCCCAGTAACGTCTCTTTCATCCTATCCCTGAGATTATATTCAAGGCTTTTTAGGAGAATGAGACCCATCATTGTTACTGGTATTTGGCATATTTGGTGCGCCACGGGGAGTTTGCTAGACTCTGCCCTGTGGGCAGGCTATATTCGATAGCCTGCAAGTTTGTCCAGAGTAGGAATGAGATAATAAGATGTCAGAAAAAGATGTCCTGATAAGATGTCGCGGCGTGCGGTTCCGGGAGCTGGATTTTATAGTCTCTGAGTCTTGGCCCCTGATGGGATTACACGGTGTCAGGAGGCCAGGTGGTGGGTGTGACCCCCGCCTACTGGAATTTGGAGGATCTGGGTGGAGGATGCTCAACTCCAATTCGAGTAGGCTTGGAGATCTCGGCCCCGGAACCCGCGTGGCTTTGTCCCTCTGCCAGTACCTTCATGTGTGCGGAGAGTGGTCTCAGCATGGTGGTGGCTGGTCCTGGAGGTCTTCGGCTGCCGGAGCCCTGGTCGGGGTGGGGAGGAAAGCTCAACCCGCTCCCCTCCAAGGGACCCCGGCGAGGAACAGCCAGGCGCAGGGGCAGGAGACTGACTGCACTGGTCTCGTCCGGGAGCTGGATTTTGTAGTCTCTGAGTCTTGGCCGCTGATGGGATTACACGGCGCCAGGGGGCCAGGTGGTGGGTGTGACCCCCGCCTACTGGAATTTGGAGGATCTGGGTGGAGGATGCTTAACTCCAATTCGAGTAGGCTTGGAGATCTCGGCCCCGGAACCCGCGTGGCTTTGTCCCTCTGCCAGTACCTTCATGTGTGCGGAGAGTATATATAATAGCAGACATATAATCTGCTGAAAATGTGGTTATTCGGGTTTTGTGACTGAAATCTCCAGGCTTTCTCAGAGTTGAGATGGGCTACTTCCCTCGACCTCCCAATGCCCCTGGAAGCACTGACAGTCATCACCATAAACCAACTCCAGAACCCCCATGTAAGCACTACTACCACCTTTGCTTCAGAGATTCAGATATAAATTTTGAAAGACTTCAAAAGTCTCCATTTCAGACCCGCACATGGCTGAACAGACTGGAGTAACTCAGAGAGGGGAAGGTCAGCCTGGTACCTGCCCAAGCTGAGCCCTCAGCAACTTTTTGCTTCTACAATCCAAAATCATAGCCATACCCCTGGCCTGACTCTACAGTCTCAGGATGGAACTCACCGAGACATAATCTGCTGATGGGTATGCAGTTGTTGTGACTGAAACCTTCAGGCTGTTTCAGGGTCAGGATGGGTTTACCCCCCACTTTGAACAAACAGGATGACCTCTTAGTAGCGGAATAGAAAACCATAATGCAAAAAAGGAAAAAGAGTAAGAAGTAGAGTGCCATAGATGGAAACTGGAGGAGGGGTGAGGCTTGGGGGGTGGTGGGAGGGAATGAGGGGACATTGGTTGTGGGAAATGTGCACTGGTGGAGGGATGGGTGCTGGATTATTGTATGACTGAAACCTGATTATGAACAGCTTTGTAATGGTCAAGGTCAAAGATATTCAATTTAAAAAATTTTTAAAAAATAATTTGTAGTTCATCCCTCCTTCACTCAGCTTAATCAATGACTGAATAAAGAGTACTACATCTATTTTTAAAAAAGAGAAATGTCTGTTCAAATTTAAAAACTGGCTTGTCTTTGCATTAAAACATTATGTAGTTTCAGGGATTTAGCTTTATACTTCTCCATATAATACTAACCACTTTGTACCTATTCTTATTTCTTGGTTTATATCACTATTCCTGGGATAATGAGAGGGTTGAAAGTCCCACAGCAGTGGGAGAAAATCAAAATTGCTATTGCCTTCTCTACTTGGAAGAGCACTGGGACCTGCAGAGCACTGTGTTATATCCTAGTTTACACTAGTTACTAGAAATGGTCCTGATGGAAGGGAAAAGAAGTTAATGTTTATCATAAAATATTTTCATATGACCTATATAATTATGATATAGCACTGTTCTCCCATTGTTCATCGAGTTGCTTGAGTGTGCCCAGTAACGTCTCCATTGTGAGACTAATTGTTACTGTGTTTGGCATATCAAATACGTCAGGGGTAGATTGCCAGACTTTTCCATGTGGGTGAGATACTCTTGGTAACTTGCCAAGCTCTCTGAGAGGGGTGGAGGAGTCGAACCTGGGACGAATAGTCAGCCACGTGCAAGGCAAGTGCCCTACCAATGTGCTATTATGAAATATAACTTTTAAAAGAGCTGAATTTTTTTTTAGCTTTTAATAGGAACTGAGTCTCTCTTGGTGCTGTAAACTAACTGATGTGTTTATTCAAGCTAACAAACTGACTAAGCTTGGATCCTAATCAAAGTTCTAAAACCTAAGGATCTTTTCACTTTGTTACCAAGGAAGGACTCAGCACCTTGGAATGATTCCATGCCCGGTGTCTATCTCAGTATGTGTTTTTATGTCTGTTGCTTTTCTCAGCAAAACCTAAAGTGACCGTCTACCCAAGCAAGACAGAGGCTTTAAACCACCACAACCTGCTGATGTGTTTGGTGACAGATTTCTACCCAGGCCAAGTGAATGTTCGGTGGTTCCGGAATGAACAGGAGGAGACAGCTGGCGTTGTATCCACCCCACTTATTAGGAATGGGGACTGGACCTTCCAGATCATAGTGATGCTGGAAATGACTCCCCAGCGTGGAGATGTCTACACCTGCCAAGTGGAGCACCCCGTGCTCGAGACCCCCATCACTGTGGAGTGGCGTAAGGGACAGTTTGTTTCTGGTCACTATGGGTCTCTCAAGTCAGTAGGCAGAGTTTCTCTGAGCCTAGTTTATTTTATTCTTGATTTTTTTGCATGAAACTTTGTTGAAAGCTTATTTATAATTTACAAACTAGTTCAAAAATGCTAGTTGAGCTTTCTGTATCATTGGTTTCAGTCACTGAGCTCAGTGGACTTGTATGAATTTTCTCCATGTAATTTTTTGTGTGCCTACGGGGATATCAGTTCTGTTAAGTTTAGACATGTTACATGGTAAGAAGCAGTATGCTTCAGGAGCTTTGGAACTTCCAGTGTCTCATGGCATCTTTCCAAGATCATATGTGAAGCTAGGCTGTTTCTCTGGTGGTAGTGCAAACTGAATATGGATGGGTGGAGTGCTGGTCTTTGGCACGGTGGGGACACTCTCTGTCCCCATCCCCTTTAAGGCTCTAGAGATCTGCACCACAGGGAGGTAGGCCACCCTGGAATAAATCAGCTGCCAATGTGTGTGTGAGGTCAGTCACAAAGCTGGACCTTCTGTCTGGTGGTGGTGGGAGCATATGTAGATATTTTATTTCAGACATCATTCGTGAGCTGGATGGAAACGACAGAAAACTTGATTACAAGAGCATCAAAATAATTCTGGTGTGATTTTCTTTACAGGTTTTAGCGATATTACTCCACTTATTATGGTTCCTAATTCCAGATCTGATAACTCTGAAACATTGACTATTAGAGCTTGTAACTGGGGCCTTAGGGTAAAGGTACTTAAGGGAGCTAGAATCCATTCCCCACTTCCCTCTTCTCTCATCAGCTCACTATGTCTAAAAGGTAAAGGCCCTCCCGTTGTTCATCGATTTGCTCGAGCGGGCCCAGTAACATCTCCATTGGAGATTTTGTTGTTACTGTGTTTGGCATATCGAATACATCACAGTGGCTTGCCAGGCTCTGCTCTGCAGGCGAGATACTCTCGGTAGCTTACCAAGCTCTCCGAGAGGGGCAGAGGAATCAAACTCGGGTCGGCCATTTTGGCTGCGCGCAAGGCAAATGACCTACCGCTCTGCTATCACTATGTCTAAGAATCAATTAGTGGGGCTTTCCATCTTGTAGGGAGTGGTACAAATGAAAAACAAGGTTTTTCTGAAACCTCCTGTTTGGTACTCAAGTTAGAGTTTAGATCCTCAACTAAGGAACTCATGAGTTGTGGAGCAAATGCTGACACTCAGACTTTGTTCCCAAGGAGCCCAGTCTGATTCTGCCCGGAACAAGATGCTGAGCGGCATTGGAGGATTTGTGTTGGGGTTGTTCTTCCTTGGATTGGGCCTCTTCATCCATTACAAGAACAAGAAAGGTAAATTCACCTTGGAAAATGAGGAAAATAAGCTATGCATCAATCTCCAGATTGCCCTTTTTCCTCCTGACCCTGAAAGGAAGGAGGCCATGCTGCTAGTGAAATGAGTCAGAACAACCTTGCTGGAGATTTTTAAAGTCTGATTTGAATAGTTAATGGTAGTCTTGTAACATGTAGAGAATGTCCTAGGACTTTCCCATTCTCCATAGTCTCAGTGACTTGTTTCTAAAATCTTTTAATAAGGCTCAGACTTAAGGCCACTCAATTAGACGTGTGGTGTTTGTATTTATGTAATCTACTCAGTCAATGATACTGTAATCAGGAGGTTTCCATAACAACAACCAAAGTGGAAATTGTGCCTGTCAAGGTGAGAGGCTGCTGAGAGGAAGGGAACCTGGGGACATGGGTGGAGGGAAGTTGAATTGGTGAGGGAACAAAATATGCCTGAAACTCTACTATAAAAAACTTTGTAACTAATGGTAACATAATAATAAAACAAAGAAAAGGAAAGAAAAGGAGAAGGTTGGAATGTTGACTTCTGTTGGCAGTTTTATTCCTTGGATGAGGGTAGGGTGGAGGATTTGGTTTTTGGTAATGAAGGTCTTGTACCAGATGGCTAGGGAAGAAGAAATATCCAGTTGTGTTCCAAATGTCACTTCTGTTTGGGGTAAATGAGAAACTGTCGATTTGAGTAATGAAACCCTTGTCTCTCTAACTTCCTTTTGTAGGACCTCATGGGCCTTTGCCAACAGGTACTTTTTTTTGCTCTGATTCAACATGGGGTTCGGGGAAGGAATAAGTAAAGGAGGAAAGGGTGTGAGGTGAACATATCCAGACACAGTGGTCTCAATTTGTGACATATTTTCCCTTACAAAATCAACAGTTAGTAGAGAATTATACTTAGTTTCTGTAGAAACTGCTGAGCTTCTTCCGTTCAAAGAGGACACACATTGATGGGATCTTTCTCTGAAACTTGCAGTCAGAGGTACAGCTTGGATGTTAGATATCAGAATAATGCCTAAAATGTTTCACATATTGTCGGCGACTTCCTTTGTGTAGTTACTGATGAGTGAATATTGGCGTAGAGAGGTAGTATAGAGGGTGGAATGCTTGTCTTGCCTTGCACGCTACTATCCTGGCTTCCATTACCAGCAACCCAAATAATCCCTTGAGCTGAGTTGGGTGTGGTCTCTGAGCAGCAAACTCAAGTAAGTTTTGAAAACTGCTGGGTTGTCCCACCAAAAAAAAAAAAAAAAAAGGTGAAAGTAGCTGCTAGAAGTGGAAAATAGCTACTAGAGGTAGAAAATTTGAATCTTAATTAGATTTTTAAAAAAACGTGGAGTCATCATATCCTTCAGAAAGACAACAACTTCCCTACTTCCCACACATCAGAACAGATCTGTTAGTTGCCTTTTGATTTTTAGATAAATTGATCTTAACTCAGATGTCATGGGAGGTGAAGACCACATGAGAGGGCCCTCAGCTTTCTCGATCTGATTTCTCTAAGGGGAGGAAAGAGGTTCCATTCCTCGGGGTGCACTATGCTCATCACTCTCTCTTCTACAGGGCTCCTGCACTGACTCCTGATGATCTCCTGAAGGTCTTTGATGGATACTTCTTTCTCCTCTTCTGTAATACCTGCCTGTAACTGCCCATAATTTGCAGTTGCCTGCAAGTTTCTGTCTCTGAGATTGGAATCTTCTGACTCTGAGACAGTCTTTAGATCACTTCCTGTAATCACTTCCTGTACTCACTACATGGAGAGTCTGGTTGTGAAGTTTCATCCTGCACTGACCCCAGAGCCTGTTTGTGCTGCAGCTATGAAGACAAGGGCTTTTTTTTCCCCATTGTGTGTCGATTTGCTGTTCAAAAGAAGCACATGAAACCATATATCTGGCTGTAGAGATTTAGCAGAATTAAACACAATTATGACTAGTATTTATAATGAGATTTCTAATTTATGCTAATTAGATTTTAAATTCATATGACATTATATTAGTTTTGGATTCTAGCACTTATTTGATATCTCTATATGATGAAATAATTATGATAAAATGTCTAATGTCCATGTACTTATAATCAAAATATTTTTCTTGTAGTGAGAACCTTTCAGACATGCTCTTTCAGTTGCTTTAGAATATACAAGTTTATTAACTATAATCACCATTGTGTCCATTATATGACCAAGATGCAATTATTTCATAACTGGAAGTTCCCAACAACCACTAGGCTTCAAAAGCCCAAATTCTGGAAAGATGTTTTCTATTCTGGCTCACAAATTTCCTATTAAGACCTTTTCCAAACAGGAGATCTAAATTATGCCAACAACTGTTGGAGCTTTGTTGGAACTAAGGATATAACTATTTTGAGATAAAAAGTTTCATCTATTTACTCTTTCAATGTAGGTTACCATAGTGTTAATTCTCATGGTTTTTGGATAGGAAATCAAGCACCTTAAACACTAATACATCCCAGAACCTCAATCCCTGTCCTGATATCACTCCTAATCTACTTTCCTTTCACTACCCACCCCCCACCCAACTTCATCGCTTCTTTTCTTTCCTCCCTGGCTTCCACATTCTCCCGGCTTGAGAATTTCAGTTTTGCGATTAAATGAGAATTTTTTGCCTTCCATTAAAAATTTATTTTTTTTGTTTCTGAGAAATATTTAATTTCTACTTTTTTTAAAAGAAAACATGCATATACGCTCACACATACAAAGTGGGTTGACAATAAGCTTTGAAGTACATGCCATTATCTGCAAAGCATGCGTTGAAAATACGTCTGTTTAAAACACATTTTTTAATATTTTAAAAACAAACAAGCAAAACTTTATATGAAAAAGGAAATATCTAAGAAGGTATTTCCAAAAGAGAAATTGCCAGTGGAAAATAAATGCTTGCAGAGTTGGTTGTTTATTCTCATTAATAATTAGAGAAATAGAAGCGTAACATTCTGTGAAACACTACTCATGTCCTCCAGACAGGTGGAACGTAAGACAATGTATGGGGATGTTGAGATAATACAAATGTTATGGCAAATGACTTGCAAGTAGTGAACTCAGGACTGAACCCAGGTCCAGATGGTCTCCTAAGCATCACAGGGTGTGGCTCTAGAGATCTTTATTTTGATTTATTTATTTATTTATTTGCTTTTGGGATCACACTTGCGATGCTCAGGGATTGCTCCCGGCTGTGCTCTCAGGAATCACTCCTGGTGGTGCTTGGGGGAACATATGGGATGCTGAGAATTGAACCTGGGTTGGCCGCATGCAATGCAAACAACCTGACCTCTGTGCTATTGCTCCAGCTTCTCCAGAGGCCTTTAAGCACAGCTCTGTGGCTTGAAATCTCTGGATCCACATGTCCTGAGTGGTACCACATCCATTTGCCTTTGTATTGAATCTCCAGCTCTGTCCGCTGAGATCATGAGATGGTATCCTGGATTCCTTGAGGACTCCAATCTTCAAAATGAAACAAAAACTGACAAGAATTGAGTTATTGTGTAAATGGATCCTGAGAGTGTACCCGGAGAAAAGCTATTTGAATGACAATTTGACACTAAAATTTAAAGTTGAACATAGGCATACTAATAATTTGCCATCCTACGGCTTCCAAACAAGTCTAATATTAGAACAACTCAGCTGAAAAATAAAGGATCTAAGCTGCAAGGTATATTAAAAAAACAATGGTAGTAACTCAAAAGACTATCCATATTAGGTGGGTAAGTATATAGTTGTGCCATCCATAAAACATAATCCACAATAGAATAAAAATAAGTGAACAACTGCTATGGAAAAGATCTTTGAACAGACTCCTTACCTATAATGTTAGGAAAAGAAGCCAGAAAACTCACATTTATTTATAGGAGAATTAAAGGAGGGTATACTTATCTACATTGTATGTGACTACATTTACAGGTCATACAAACTTGACAAAAGCAAAACAAGATTCATTGGGTCATAATGAACTTGCTTCTAGGAAGTAAACATGGTGTTATTGTATCTTTTGATTCACAGTTTTTTTGTACCCAATTAGTGACTATTTGATAGTTCTAGTGTTTGTTAAATTTTACATATATATGCTTGATATCATATCTCTATTATGCTATATTTAAAAACACTGTACAAAGTGGGAATGTATAGTGCTTACCTTGCATATGGTCTATCTGAATTCAGTACCTGGCACTTGGTATCGTTCCCAAGTCCTGCCAGGATTGACCCCTGAGTACAGGGTCAGTAGCAGTAAGTTCTTAGCACTTCTGAACACAGTAAAGAAAAACAAAACCAAAAACTCCAAATTTAAAAAAAAAAACACCAAATCCATAAAAAATAGAAAGTCTAGTACTTAAAAAATGAAGTGAGGAAATTTGTGTAATGATGCTATATAGAATTTGGGATTTAGGGATACTAAATAATAGTTCTTCATTTTTGTATAAGTCATTCTGTGGTCCTAATTCTGACCTAAGCACTTTGTGCAACCTCAGAATTAGTGATAATCACTGTCCCTGTATTTGTTCCCTACCAAGTTTTAAGTAAAAATCTCATACCCTGTAATGTTAGCACTCTTACTCCTGGGGTAGAAAATTGTGCTTTTCAGATGATTAGGCTACAGAGAGCGTTGTTGTCTACATTTCTCTATCCCCGAATTCAATATTTGATGAGTATCTTGTGTCCCAGAAAATATCTTGGACTATAAATATTTTTTTCTGTTTCTTGGGTCACACCTGGCCATACACAGGGGTTACTCCTTGTTCTGCACTCCGGAGTTACACATGGCAGTGCTCAGGGGACCATATGGGACATATGAGATGATGGGAATAGAACTCGTGTTGGCCGTGTGAAAGGCAAAAGCCCTACCCGCTGTGCTATCTCTCCAGCCCCCAAATCTTTTTTATTTACTTTCTGGGACTTCTTCATACTTGTCTATGGGTTCACTGGCATTTGTCTTGCTTCTGGCAAAGAAAGAAAGAAAGAAATGTTCCTTTTCTTTTCCTTTCATCTCTGAGACCCCAAAGTGAAACTCTATTTCCTACCCTGCAGAGATTGGGAAAAAAGAAATCTAGTCGAATTCTTCTCCAGGGAAGGAAAAGTCTGGATTCTGATAGACTTTTGAAGACTCCCTCGTATTTGGTTAGGATGTAACACAGCTGGCCAAAAGCCTCAGAGACCTCGTCAATTCCCTGATCTGGGCTCTCTGAAGAGGCAGTGAGCTATGGAAGTCTTCCCTATCATTAGAACATCCATCAGAAGTCCAGCTAAGGTTCAGAGGCTCCTGGGGTTTATTGCTTCAAAATTGAAAAAGACACCTTTTACTGAAGATTGGCAGCACAGTTTCATCAATTAGCTTGATTTTCTTTCTGCATAGGAAAAATTTAGGAAACCTACAGGTTTATTGATTTCACAATTCATAGGGGAAAGTCAGGCAGTCCAACAAATTTTGTTGTCATTGTTTTCTGAGACGCTACTGGCACCTGTTCGAGCAAATAGATGATCAAGGGGATGACAAGTGATACAAGCGTTTTCTGAATAAACTTTTAAAAATATAGGCCCACTCCAGGGCTTCATCATGACAGTGCAAACCTGGTAGGTCTGGCATGGCAGAACAGTGTTATGTGCCTGCGAGGCCTATATCTGGCGCCCCCAGGGGACATCAGGGCTATATCCAGTGTTGCTGGAAGTCTTGAGTTGCCTAGAGCACAACTTATTGTCTCCTACTAAGTTTTCCCATCTGAAATACATCTCTGGTGCTCTGGCTAAATAGACTATTTGTTTATTACTATTATTTAAAATTTATACTTAAAATTTATATTTTAATTGAAATATTGTTTACAAGCTTCAAAGTTCAGGGAGCAACAATTCAAGGGAACTAGGACAGGTATAGGGAAAATTTGTGGAGAGATATGACACTTTTCCATGGAATATATACATATATACTTATATGCTTGCATATGTATTTATTTTTTGTTTAGGCAACAATAGTTTTAAAGAATGAAATGATTTCCATTTAGGCATACAATGTAATCACTCCATCTCTACCATCTAATTGCCTCTACCTCTACATCTCAGTCCATTGTCCCTTTTTAGATGCAACCCCTGTCACTGCCCAACCCCTCCCTGCCAAATTGTCACCAGCCCAGAGTGTCCCTCTGGGAAGAGGCAGTGGTGTCTGTGCCTTTGCTTTTGGTCTTAAAAGATTTAAACTTTTCCAAGGAATCCTGAACTCACGTGCGTAAGATATTTTAGATTGTGTCATGACACTGTAGATTAGCAGTAACCACCCCTTAATTACACACTCATTTTAATCTTACCTAGAGGAAGATGATTCTCTCTGGGGAGGCAGTAAACTGGGTCTACAATGTGAGTTTTGGCTATTAGTACATGCTATCAGTTCATGATTCTTTTACACAATGTCAAACAGGAGATGCAAAGTGATCAAAATAAATAAATTTTTATTCCCTTCTTCAGACTGGAGTGATAGCACAGCAGTAGGGCGTTTGCCTTGCATGCAACTGGCCTGGCTGAGCCCGGTTCCATTCCTCCACCCCTCTAGGAGAGCCCGGCAAACTACAGAGAGTATCTTGCCCACACGGCAAAGCCTGGCAAGCTACCCGTGTCGTATTCAATATGCGAAATACAGTAACAACAAGTCTCACAATGGAGACGTTACTGGGTCCACTTGAGCAAATTGATGAATAACGTGAGGAC